CCAAGGGCGACAGTTTGAAAGCGGCTTATTTCGAGCCCTTTCCCAATTATTGGGAATCAAGAGGATCAGGACGTCTCCGTACCACCCACAGGCGAATGGACTGATCGAGGAATTCCACCGTCCTTTGAAAGCTGCCTTAAAAGCGCACGATACCAGTGACTGGGTGGCTGCCCTTCAAACGCTGCTGATGGGTTTCCGCGCCGCTCTCAAAGAGGACATAGGAGCAACCACTTCTGAACTGGTGTATGGAAAGACTATCCGTCTCCCAGGAGAATTTTTCAATCCGACACCTCCGGATGCGTCCCCCAAACAGTTTGTGGAGGATTTAAAATCTCACTTTGCCAGTGTCCGCCCGACCACGACTTCTAGCCACGGCCAGCGAGCGAACATGTTTCATTCATCCACGCCTTCACAAGTCCACATATGTGTTTGTTCGACACGACGGAGTTAGAAAACCACTTCAAACTCCTTATGATGGACCATTTGAAGGTGCTAGAAAGACGAGATAAAACGTTTGATCTCGAAATAAAAGGGACTAAGCAAACGATCTCCATAGATAGACTGAAACCCGCTTTTGTAACCATGGACTCTTCTCAAGTTGCTTCCAAGAGTGTGAAAAAAAAAAACTTCGGACAATTGTATCACCCGTTCTGGACGATTAATCCGACCCCCGCATCGGTATGTCACATTTCGTTGACACTGCGGAGGGAGTATGCAGCGGCAGCGCCGAAACAGGCGATACGGACTTAAAAACTGTACAGAAAAGCGCCAATTGGCGAAACAGTAAACCCGTTTGGCAAACCTACAGGCTGACGGGAGAGAAGATTTTTCCCCGGCAGTCAAGTGGAACTACTTCAACAAATGTGTGCGTCTCTGTTTTCGCCGAGATATGTAATCTTGTGTACTCGCATCTGTACTGTGCTCTGAATTTCTTAAGCCGTTATAATGTACCCGGCAACTGTTACTTTTCCTTATTAAATTTGATTATTAATTGTAACATGTCTATCTTAACTAAGATTTTGGCTTTCCTAGTTAATGTTAGGGATATTTTCGTATGCACGTGTTACTCACACGTACATCAAACTATTTTGCTAGACAATAAGATCTCAATATACAGAGTTCAATATACAGATATAAAACACCGAATTTTCTTGGATGACGAACAAATTAAAAAGGCAAAGAAAGCAACCTATGAACTTTCACTAAGAATGAAATTATTCTCAGAACAATTGGAGAATTCGAATCAGGACAGTTAAACTGCAGACATTGCAATTGAGTCTCTATTATCCTCTTCCAGTGATGAATTAGATTTTGAGAAATATTTTCGGATAATATTGAAAAGGCTAAGACAAAGCGCATGAAAATAAAGAACCAAGAGTGCTTAGATATAAAAATTAAAAAAAAAAAAAATACAAACAAGATTTCTACACGGACTTGAGGAAATTGAGAAATATGATTGCGCTTGCAAGACACCTCTTTTAGAACTTCACAAATCTATCCTGAAAAGTTAAAAGAAGTAGCCTTAACAGTAACATCTTTTCCTTCTACTCAAGTTAGTGTGGAAAGACTTCTCAGCTCAAAATTTTATCAAATCGGATCTATAGCCCTCCAACAAAGATCTTGCCGAAGCTATACTGTTTCTTAGAAATAACTAATGGCAGTTTTTCCATTTCATAATAAATACTAATTAATATAAATAATTTGCTAAGGAATCAATTTTTTTTCTGTAGCATCTATTACTTCTTTTATATTAAAAAATAAGCTTTAACCCATGTGTATATGTTTACATATAGAGGGAGTTGGAGTCAAAATTCCAGGAGTCGGAGTCGGTCATTTTTGCTACCGACTCCACAGCCCTGGTTTGTAAATGTATAGTGTCCGTGCGGCATGGGAACGCTCTAAATATGGGGCGAGAAGAAAGTCCTCTCGAGAAGTTGATGGTAGGCGAAGAGGGTGAAAGACCCTTGGACACCTCCCCCGCGGGCTACTCTTTATCAAAATTGGGGCCGAAACTGAGCTAAATCGCACTGTCACATGTAAGGTGCTCAAGGCTGTTGCCTACGAAGGCGCAATCTTTCGCTCTTTGTCACGAGGAATTTCGTGGGCTTTGGCTGACTTAGGTCAAACAGTCAACAGCCACCAGAAGTTTTTCCGAATGGAACAAAATTTTAAAATAAAGTCAATTCAGTCTATTTTTCTTATTTATTAAATGTTTCTTTGATTCATAAGTAAAAATACTATTGTTTGAATGTAAACATCTTCCTTTCTTACTACGGCTTGCCACCTCAAAGCGTTTCGATTCTGATCAAGTTTGTAGCCTGAAACAGAAAATTTCTAGAAATGACGTTCATCGCTATTTGTAGATGGTCGTCCGTCTATCACAAACAAAGCAAATATTCTTAGTGCAAAATTTCGTAACTGAGCTTACTCATTTTTTGACAAGTACGAATACAAATGAGTAAAATCAGTATCTTCAAATCTTTGAGACTTGTATCACATCGTAAATAACTTGGTTCCATTTATGGATTTTCTGGTGTGTTATTCATGTTAGTTTTTAATGGTAATGAAAATAATGTAAACTCCGGCTTCAACTAGCTAATATCTCCAAATCTTTGCAACAAACATGGGACTGAAATCTATTCGATAGCCGCATAAAATTAAAGCCGGCTTAAGATTATTGAAGTCAAGAATTAAAACTGCACATTGAATTGTGGAGATGATGAAATGTATTTCAGAGTCTGGGGATCCGTATATCATTCTCAAACTGGTGGCCGGCAATACTTTTCAATTAATTATAGCATTATTATGACATTAATTATTATGGAAAGAATTCGTAGAAAAGTTTAAGGTTTTAATGATTTTGAGTTCAATTTTAATTTTATTTGGAGTTCAATTAAAAACTAACCAAGTAACTAACTCCCCATAAAATCTACAAATGCAGCTCATTTATTTACACTGATATAATCCTTATTCAAAGATGTGAAGATATCGGTTTGATTAACAAGTGATTGTCCGTACCTGTAAAAAGATAAATACGCTCAGTTACGAATTTTTGCAATAAGAAGAATCGCTTTGTCGAAGAATAATTTAGATGTAAGCAGTTTCTCCGCAGTTCTATACAAAGAGCCGGACAGAATGATGAAGATCTAAAATTCATGATAGTTTCTAGTATTTTTTTTTTACCAAGGTTACAGTTTCATCAAAATGGAAACACCCAGAGGTGATAGAGCTGAAAGTTGTAGTAAGAAATAAAGAAGTTTATAATTATTTACATATTTTAGTTTGTAATTATTTACATAAAATACATGTAATTTTTCTGTATGGGTCAGAGAAAATTTAATAAACAAAAGGCTAATTATTTGTCACTGTTTATTTTAAAGCTTTACCCCACTCGGAAAGTTTCCATAATTTGCTTAAGTTATTTAGTCATTAATTCAACGTATTAAAATTATCTGAAATAAATATCAGTATGAAAATTTAATATTTAGCTATCAAAATATTTGAATTACAAAATATAACTACCAGAGGTTTTTGTGGTTATCAGCACAAAATAAAAATAAATTGGAATTTTTTCTCTTGCGTCATTTAATTGTTTATAAAGATTTAATAAATAAAATTTAAATTAAGTTAAAAAATTTGTTTTGTTAAAACACCCTTTTCAGTTTGGTTAAGAAAAAAAAAAAAAAAAAAAAGGTTTGGCCAGCCAACTGCTTGAGATCTTGCTTTCGGCACGCATGCAATCTGAGTTGGCGTAGATGATAACGAGATAGTAACGGTAGTCTTAGGACGAACGGCTCCCAGCAGTCCCGTTGTAAGTTGGAGTCCTGAGAACTTTGATAATATTTTTATAAATTAAGCTTTCACTCATCAAAAATGTATCCATTTCCTGATTTCATTTTTTTAAAGATTCTTGTTTGCAGAGCAAATTTTTCAAAAATTCCTTCTTCCTCTGTAAATTTTTTAAAGATCCTCGCTCCCTGAATTAATTTATTATTAAGGATGCTTCCTTTATGAATGAATTTTTTTAAGGATTTTTTTATTTCATGAGTGAATTTTTAACTGTGATTAGTAGCATGATAACTGATTTGTAGTCAGGCTTCCTTTCATTTTCTTAATTGCAGAGAAATGTTTTTAAGAGTTTTTGCTTCTTGAATTAATTTTCTAAGAACTCTTACTTACAGAGTAAATTTGTTAAGGATTCTTACTTAACGAGTTAATTCTGGATTTTTCCTTTTTGACTTAATTTTTAAGGATTCGTGCTTCCTATGTAATTTTGTTTAAGGATTTTTCTTTCGTGAGTTAATTTTCTTAATGCTTCTTGTTTCATGATTGAATTTTTTTAATGTGGTTAGTAGCATAGACTGACTGTAGTTAAGTTTCCTTTCATTTTGTCTTTTTTTTTTTGCTTTAGTTATTTTTTTAAAGATTCTTGCTTCTTGAGTGAATATTTTAAGGATTCTTCCTTCCTGAGATAATTTTTTAAGAATTATTGCTGCAGAGTGAATTTTTCTAGTAGCGATTAGTGGCATGACGACCGACTTGCAGTCACGTTTCCCTTTTTCTCTTTTAAAAATTCTTATTCTTTGCGTGAATTTGTTGAGTGGTTTTTTTTTTATTTCTTAAATTGCGACCTGACTTTCGATACTGCGAGTAGTTGTCATCTTAATCCTATTTTCTGACAATATAATGCATTGTCTCTGAATACACTCTATTGCAGCGTTTTCTAGAATTGGTCTCTACGACAACAAGACCAGATAACAAGGAATTTACTCACATTTTAAATCTAAAAAATTATAGCAGTTAATCAGCTAACGGAGGTTAAACTTTCTTCAACATTGGTAATTATGAAACGAGCAAATATTTCTGTTTCACTTACTTTTTAGCAAAAAAGCGTTTCCTACAGCTTCCTTCCAATAAAGAAGCTATTCTGTTTCAGTGGCAGTCAATGGTCAATAAAGCATTTAAATAACGTAATAAAAATGATATTTTATTACCATTACCTGATCTCCCTCGAAGCGCTTCAGCACTCTCTGCAGAGAGTTGTATTTGCCGGGTCGCACATGTAGAAGCTCCAGAAGATGGCGCTCGTTGGGGTCCAGACCAGAAAGGTACACTTGGTAGTGTAAGACGCAGTCTTTGTCAATGGAGAGCCAAGCGATTCCTCCCGCAGTAGCGTTGCCACCCGACAGCAGAATAGGCACCTCTGAAGAAAGAAATCATTTCTTCAATAAAATTAAAGCTAATAATTTTTTCGAATGTTTCAAAATAAAATACGGATATCTTTCTTATACGACGGTTTCGTGCAACATGGCTTCGCTCTTACACGATAAGAAAATTATGGAAACCACGCACAGCGCGGCAACATAGTTTCAGTTCTAGCACGCTAAAAAACACGGGAAAGCTACTTAATGACATTTTATGTATATCTCAAGTTGCATGGGTACTGAAGCCTGTTGACCACGTAAAGTAAGCCCATCCTAAGTTTGGGGAGGGGATTGGAACCCAGCAATGAAAAACTGGATTAGCTCACCTAAAGATACTCCTTCTTCACATAGGAATACTATCCCCTGCAAGGTATCGGTTTCCGGAAATACCTATATAGAAGAAAGATATTCCGTGTTTACTTTTATCCATACTTAAACACGCCGAGAATCACCAAAGCGGGACTAATCAGTGAACAGAACAACCTCTTACCGACTTTCACTTCAGTTTACGCGAGTACGTGCCCAAATGAAACGCTCCCTACGATGGCTGGTAAGTAAGCGGGACGCACAATGCCGGTCGCCTATTATATAGACTTCATGCAGAGATTTGCAGCTGCATGAAGAAAATGCAGCTTATTTCATGCAGAAATAAGCGCTCCGATGGATTTTCAGTCCTTGTTGGCGTAATGGCAAACCGCACATTGAGTAATTTCGCTTCCTGCGCATGCCCAGAATAGAATTTGGTGCAATTTTAAAAGAAGCTAAATACGGTATATGGTTGATATTGTGTTATCTGGGCGTAAACAGTTCGGGGTTTTAAAACTTGTTACGTTGTAAAGTTGCTTCATTACTTAAGAGTGTAATTATCGATTGTAAACTACGCAAATTTTCGTTTAAGAAGGATTACAAAACACATTACAAGATATCAGCTGAATGCTATGCTTATTGATTATACTTCTGAGAAATAAAAGCAACTGAGCATTTACCATACGTTCCATTCGTATATACTTTAACAAATTAAGGAATAAATCTAGTTTAAATTACTGAATTAAAAGTCAAATAACTGATATTAACTGCAGTGTTTATGAACAAAATAAACCAAAATGAAATGAAACAGAAGCACATGCAATAAGCACACAACAAATTTCCGTATTGAATCGACAGACTTTCTAATCAGCAGTTAGAAATCGGCTCCACAGCCGGCGTACCACATAACGATAGACATTTAGCTAATTTGCGACATCAAACTGTCGCTAACCTGCTTCTGATCGCTTTACGACTCTATAACGCAAATCTGCTGGCAAATGTCGAACTTATTTTTACAGTTTGGCTACCTCGAAAATGTTTAACACATCGTCGTTCAATAGGAAGCTATTTCTTCCTAAACAGCTGGTTTTAAGCTGTATCATATTTACGTAAAGAGATGGCTACGCTACTCTTTTGCCTGATGGTTCTCGACGCAGCTTGCTTTTATTTGTAACAATCCAAATTTCAAGAATTTCAAACTACGTTTAGTCTATTTTTCAATTTGTTGCTTAACTAAACCAGTGAATATTTATACCCATCAAGCTAAAGATTATATATCGATACGTTGTAGAAACAAAACATAAAAAATTTAGAAAACAGTTTTACCGTTGAGTAAAGCCTCGGTGTAGATTCGCTGACGCACTTGCCCTCGCAAGTGTATCCTCGTTTTATCCGAAAGAGTCGTTCGAGATCTTTCCTGCAATAAAAAAAAGTTTTCAATGACTCACAAATCAAAAATTAAAGAAAAAATACTGTTTAAAACTAAAAATTATCTGAAGTGTTGGTTCGCTGGCAATCTTGTTAGAAGTAACAAAAATGTACAAAACTAAGTCCGAAATCCAGAGATGTAATTTCCGAACCACCAGCGAAAAAATAAATAAAATATAAATAAATTAATTAAAATAATAAAAAAATCCCCCTTACAAAAAAATCCAGGAATGGAGAATATAATAACAAAAGAAGCAGGGGTGCCCTAAATACGATTTTTCTCCGGACTAAGCCGATATTCTTGCATGTCACTTTTCAAACACATGTTGGCTAGGAAGTCGCCCATAATACTACTATATTGAGTTACGTTGGCCAGGATCACACCTTCGGCCACTGAATGCCAGGGTCAGTGTAATCGCTGCGAGTCCTAAATTCTGCTGTTCGGTACCTCCCTAAGATAGAAGTTTTGCCGCCTCTACATTCTACTGCCTAGCTCCTCTCCTAAAATTTAAAAATTCTGTCATCTCTAATTTTAAATGCTCTCTATAAATTTCAACATTTGCAGCCGCTAAACTCTGACACCGAATCGGGTCATATCAGTTGGTCCTGCTCTGGTGTCTCCCCTGCGTGTCTGCCTTTTCTATCTGACCTAAACAATAAGCGAAGCCCTAATGTTGTCTTTCTGCATTTCATCTTACTAGCTTTTTAACTAAAGATCCGAAATCCAAACTCACCGAAGTCTCGACGATTCCATATTTCAGACTTTTCTACTGTCGAAGAATATGCAGGGTGCACACAAAGTGTCTTCCACCAGTGCTACAGCCATGTGGGACGGGGCGGTCTGACCGGGTGGCACAATTTTTGAGGCACTTGAGTGAAACGTAATTTATAGGGGTTAGTCAAGTGGATCGTACAAGCAGGTAAAGAATAATTATATTTTAAATTCCCACATGGAATTAAACTAGAAGGAAAAGAGTTTTTACTCTAGATAAGGTATTCAATGAAATCGCTGTGTGTCTTCAACGGCTATTTACTTTGTTATACCATCGTTTTCTTTCCTTTGAAACTTTCGAATGCAAATTAAAAATGTCAACTAAATCATGATCACGGTATCATTCATAAAGCAGAATCCCTTTCTTTATGAATGACACCGTGAGGTGTTAGATTTATATACTAACAGAAATATTTCCGTCATTTCTAGCGAAAACGAAACAGGAAAATGGAATTCAATTTATGCAGTTTATCCTAAAATAATTTCGGAAAAAATGTTTCAGATATTGTAATACTAGAGTGAACTTTTCTGCCAACTATTATGTGTTGTTGTATGTAAGAGACATTTTATAATTATAAATAATATAAGTATTTAAGAACTACAAATGTATATTTTGCATTTAAGAAATCTCTTTCTACAATCTTCATACCAGGAAGAGCAATCCAACAGACCTCTACAATGTCGTGGGCAATTTTTTTTTAATAATAAAAAGCAATTATATAATTTTCAAAAGTTTGAATTAAAAAAAAAAAAAACTATTTTTTTAAAAAATAATAACAGAATTTCACTCATTTTCCTACATGTGGTTTTTGGCATTTTTTGTTGTTATTTGTTTTCATATAAAGAGAAGCGTCAAATTTAGGGATTGCCCCAAGAGGCAAAATTTCAAGCTATGCCACTTCCTGCCACATTTCAATTACATTCATGTCCAAAATTATGTTTACATGTATGTAATCACGGATTTCTAAGAAAACGTGAACTATAATTTCATGAATTTATGCGGGACGATGCATAACATCATAACGTATGAATGCAAAAGAAAACATTTAGAGCTCTGCATATGTAGCATGAAACAATAAAAATGGTAATAATATATTACAAAAGCATAATAATATATTCAGAAGAAAAAAAAAAGAATAACTGAGGTACAAAATTAAGGTTTATGAATTTAATAGGAAATGTGATCTTGATTTGTTCAAAATGTACCACAATGTGTTTTCATGTTGGCAATAACGTTGTTAATCACAGTTTAGGGAATTAAATTCCACTCCTCCAACAAGACAGTTTTCAGGGCACTGACATCTCTAGGATGAAGATGTCTCCGTGTAACTGCTTTTTCAGGGTAGTCCAGCAAGTTCTCCCTCGAGTCTAGATCAGGAGATTTTGCTGAGCACATAATTCGCTCAGTGTCTCGTCAACAAGGTTTGCTCGAAGAGGAAGAGAATTATCACCTATAAATAAAGTCCGATCCATATGCTTCGCTGAAAAGTCTTACACAAGGTTCTAAGACTTCATCTCGAACAAAACCGCTTTGACTGACCGAAAACGCGTAAGGGTGTATGTTCATCGATCATTATTCCTCCCTATATCAAAACACCTGCATTATTGAAACATACACGTTCCATAATGTTTGACGGAGAATTTCGCATTCTTCACTCTCTCTAGATGTATACACCTTTAGATTCATATATTAAACTAATCTTTGACTCACCATTATAGAGAATACGAAACCACAAGTGTTCACTGCAGTTATTTGCGCTCCCTTTTGTTGTGAAGACAGTGAAACAAATATCCTTGGCTTTCTGGCATAAAAACCTTTTTCATTAAGCCTTCTGTGTTCAATTTGCCGTCATACTACAGCACAGCTGATGGAGAGCTCTTGTTGGAAGCGTGCTAGGAATACAAATGTGCAATTCGTTCACGAATTGATTCTCTTTACTGAAAGAGCGGAGCTCTTGTTCTAAGTTTTCTAGGAAGGTTCGATCCCATTTTAGGAAGGAAAGGAATGCTTATCCTACCATGTTAAAAGTGAATTTAATTTTTATCGTTTCTCGACTTTTTGAAAAATTTTTATTCAAGGATTTTATTGTTAGTTCTAGGTACAATGGAGGAAATCTATAAACTATAATTCACAGAAATCAGTTCTGGTAGTCTGCGTTTGATTGAGTCTATTCTTCCAATACCACTGCTCGTTCAATTATTCCCACTCAATCCTTGCTACTCGCTCTTGATTCATCCCTCGTTCCGGATCTTTTCCATGAAAATTATAGTTAGTAAACTGTTAGGAAAAAAGCCCAGGGGAAAAATGCGTTTTTCGACTGAAAGTATTTCAAGTGAAATTTTGTGTAATGATTTGCGAACAGAAGGAGAAATAAGTTTTTCTTTCAATGTTTCATATTTTTGTACCATTCAATGATTTTTTTACTTAAAAAAACAAGAAATAACTTAAGGATTCAAAATCTGGAAATTTGTAAAAATAAATTTTAAACTTATGCATCTTTCTCTTTCTAATCCTTTCTATAGCATACTTTTCATGACAATCTTAATATATCTGTAAGGTTGCAATTACTGGGAAAGTTGAATTTAACTCCTACAACCCTACTAAATAGGTTAGTGAATTATCGCTATGTCTGAAATAATATAACAGAGACCTGCGAAGATCTGAAATAACTTTTTTTTTATTTAATCTTAAACTTTTAACATAATAGGCACCACTCGTGCTACACAATGGAACCACAACTCGTCGCGATGTTAATTCAACGATAGCAGTCAATAAATTTAAACGCTGATTCAGTAGTCTAAGACTAAAAAGTAAAAAAACTTAAGCTACAAGCTGGCTCGAATTATTTTACTGGCCGGTAAGTTTAAAATATCAGTTGCAAGAGAATGCGAAGCCGGGATAATCACGTTTAGACAGAGCTGGCGGAATCGTAATGGCGCAGCGCGAGTGCCAGAAGCGCTCTATAATTCAAAATACTCTGATAATACACACTAAAATATAATTTTGAAGGTAGTGAGGAATAAGGAAAGAATAAATTAAAGATCAAAATTATATTAACTGGTTAGAACCTTACATATCTTAATAAAATAAGTTAACTAAATAACTACTTTTAATAATTAGCAAATCATTTGAACATAGCAAAGGACACGGGGGCTATCTGTCTGTGAGGAGGGATGTCTTCGAGGTATACTTTCTTACAAAAACTGGTTTTGTATTCACGTTACACAGGGAAAAACCCACGAAAACCAATAATGCAGTCAGCCTTTTTCCCCGGGGTTCGAACCCAAACCAATGATTTGTAACAGATTTATTTTCTTACTATGGTACTTAGCATGACGAAGTTCTAAAATATCGAAGTTTTTAAACCGCGTTCTTCTCTCTCACGATGTTTTGTACTTGCGTTGTTTTCACCCCCGATGTTTTCGGCAGAAACTGGTGAAAAGATAGTATGCTAAATCAGGGTTAACCCATCACGTGCCAAAATGGTCCAAAATCTGTTCTCGAACCACCTTTTAATTTTGAAATCATTAATGTTGTATTTCCTCTCGTATTTTCCGCCCTAGCTTTAACGTTATGTTCTGAAATCCAAAACTGATTATTTTCATTTTTATTCAGTGTATTTAATTTGTATTAGTATTTCATTCATTTTACTTTCCCTTGAATTTATTATTCGAAATGTATTTTAGGCAGATACTTCGGTGCGCTACCCGAACGTGGCAAGTACTCTCACACTTCAAACTTCTATACAAACATGTGATTTCGTCTTACTTCTGTTCTTTACATTAACTTACTATTGCCTTATCTACTGCTGATATGTTAGATCTTTCGAAATCCGAGTCTTTAGTTCTCCCCATTCTCCTTCGTGCCTCCAATATCCCTCTTGGAAACGGCAGTCGAAACTCATTCATGTGAGGTTCCCCTGGAGCTTTAGAACCGAGCGGGACACCTCGCGCGACTGAGTTACCGTCAGATATCCATTAAATACTTTTATGTTAATATTAGAATGTATTCTTATTGTAAAGCAAGTTTCTTTGAAAAAAATAATATTGTGATAATTACCTGTAGTTTATCCATGACTACTTTTCATTTGTTGTGTTCTAATTGTAACCTCGTCTTTCGGATATTAAATGAATTATATAATGAAATTTTGACTTCTAGATTCTCCTATCATAATTATTTTTTTATTTATTTATTTATTTATTTATTTTTTTAAATGAAAGAAGTACGGTACGCACTTACCAATGAATCGTCTTCTGCAGAGGAAATCCTATGCACGTAAGAGGGGAATGTATGATACTCGTGTGATGGCGATTCTGCTAACACTGTCACGACGAGATCATCAGTGAATAACATTTCAACTTCCTGACCATTCCTCTTGCTGAAGGACCCATTACCCTTAAATGGAAAAAAAATTCTCATAATTCGATTCAAAGAAAGAACAGAAATAAAATACGCAGAAAATATAGTAATTAATGTGATTGCGTTATATTATACATTCGGATATTGTTATCGAATTGCCGAAATCCCGTCCGTTTATATACGTTAACATGGAAAACACACCGCTTATTGCGATTAATAATTCAAGATCACACTATTGCCGAATAATTTTTGTAACTAAAGCACAGTTGCCAAATAAAATCAAAACAGATTATTAAAACTGCCAAGTATCAGTAAAATGTCGCCAGACAACCCCGTTTTCTATTAAAGCAACTTTAGTTTAGTTTAGTTCTTAGTTTGTGTTAGATTCCGTATAACTCCATCCATTTTGAGGATGATCAGACCATCATACATAGGACCTTCTTCAGAAACAAACAAAAATAAAGTTTCTGCAGAATTTTTTAAAGAAGCAAAAAATAATTCCTCTCAAAATATGTACGCCAAACTAGGGTCACTTCTATGTCTAATTGCACACTTTACATTTGCACTTGCGAAGGAAAGATGTCTTCCGAGTAGGTTAAATAATTTCTAGAAACATTATGAACTATTGCCTTAAAGATATTATGAAAAGCTGATAAAGAGTTTTACATTTTTCTTATAAAATGCTGGGAAATTTATATTAAATTAGTTAAATTCTTTTGCTGCTTTGGGGGATATTTTTTTTCTTGTCGGTTAATGTTATCAAAATAGCCGTACACAAACATGATATATTAAGAAGCGCCTACAGCACGTTTTTACACACTCACACGCATCCAAATTGTTACAGATCGACTTCGACTCACACAGTTTTTTTTCGTCTTTTTAATTGACAGACATAATAATATTGGATATTACTCTGTAAACACACACACAAAAATTCTCAAAGATTTTTAAGATTTTATATTACGCCCAAAGGAGGTTTTTTTTTAACGTTTTGTGTGTTACCTTTACTTAAATACACTCATGTCCATAAATTAAGGATAATTCGGAGTCACGCGGAAATCGAACTCTAAAATAAATATATCACCTGTAAAATCACTACACACAATTTCAAGAATCATATGCAAATTTCAGGAAGTAACCAGATGACACCGATGGTACGTCACGATCACGAGAGTGTAAAGAGAGTGATATATAAAGAATACAGGCAAAGAAGTAAAATTGTTCGCAGGCGCTCTATAAGCATTTCAGTGCAATAACCGAATAGTTATGACACAAAGGACGCATTTGGATGATTTTTTGGATTGGATTGGATTATTGTAATTTGGCACAAAAACCTGTCAAGGTTATCTGCGCCAGACAAATGGTAACAATGCAATTAGTCATTTGTAAAAACTTCCAGCTTAGGTAAGAGACAGATTACAGTCTATGATAAGAGTTGATATCTTTAAAAAAAAAACAGATTAAAGTCTATTTATAAAAGCCAATATCTTTTAAAAACAGAAACAAATTACGATGATGTGCTTTTCCAATTAAATTTTTTAAGTCCAGTTCTGAACTATTAAAATGTTTTTGGCGAAAATAATTAAAACTCAGGCATTCCACCAAGATATGATGGACTGTCAGATCTGCGTTGCAGTTTGGGCAGCTGGGATTCTCTTCTCCCTTCAGAAGATACTCATGGGTCAGGCGACAATGGCCAATTCTCAGTCGAGTCAAGAGGACATCTTCCTTTCTATTAGCCATACATGGCCAGTATCCAATGGTGGGTTTTACATTTCTCAGCTTGTTATATACTCTGTCATCCCATTGCTTCTGCCATTTGCTGAGGATTTTGCTTTTGACAAACCCTTTGATGTCTGCTAGTGGAATCTCAAGATTGTACATTGTGGTTGCAGTTTAGCTGCAATATCTGCCAATTCATTCCCCTTAATGGCAACGTGTCCAGGGATCCACGAATATAGAATCTGGTATCCCCGAATTTTTAAAGAATGATTCAACTTTAGGATTCTGATTGCAACTGGATGAGTACATTGAGCGTGATTTTTCAATGACATTAAGGCACTCATGGAATCTGTGTAGATAATAAATTTTATGTACTTTTGTTTTGAAAGGTAAGTCAAAGCCAGATGGATTGCAGTAAGCTCAGAAGTAAGCACAGAGCAAACTGTATGTAATCGAACCCCTACTATTGTTTTTTCTGTGACGAAAGCAGCGCCAACATGATCCTGGGATTTTGATCCGTCTGTATATAGAGGGATATATTTCCTATATTAGTTTCTATGTCTATTTCCTATATTTGTTCTTGTAGATGATTTCATTAGTTTGTGATTTATTCCAGCGTCGAAAAGTATCCAGAGAATGGATTCTCCAATCCTCCCAGGAAGGAATTCCAAAAAAATCCTCCATCTGTATATCTATATTAGACAAATTATACTCCTCCACCAAAGCACTCATCCGCAAGCCGAAAGATGGGACACATGATGGTCGTGCCTGATATAAACGGGAGTATTGGTCATTAAGCAATATTGACCGCGTAGAATTTTCGGTTTGTGATAAGACTTTGAAATTATGCTTAAAACAAAGATTTTCACGTCTTAACCGCAGGGAGATCTCGTTACTTTCCACATATAAGCTTTCCACTGGAGAAGTTCTAAAGGCACCAGTGCATATCCGAAGTGCATGGTGATGTATCGGATCAAGTTTGGCTAATACTGAAGGCCTAGCCGACCCATAAATGATTGATCCATAATCTAGTTTCGAACGAATGAGAGCTCTATATACAAGAAGCATTGAGCTTCGATCAGCACCCCAAGAAGTATTTGACAGTACTTTCAGAATATTCATAGTTTTTAAACATTTCTTTTTTAGATAGGTAATATGGGGGAGGAACATAAGCTTATGGTCAAATATCATTCCTAGGAATTTTATTTCCTTTTCTACAGGAATCGGCACATCTTGCAGATAAAGTTCGGGGTCAGGGTGAGGAATTTTCTTTCGACAGAAATGTACACACACAGTCTTTTGAGTAGAGAATCTAAAACCATTTTCCTGTGACCATTTAACAATTCTATTGAGAGAAGTCTGCAATTTACATTCGATGTCTTTCAGGTCTTCTCCCTGGCAACTGACTTGCAGGTCATCGACATAGAGCATACCCTGGACTGCTGGAGGCAGTTGTTTTAAAATAGAGTTAATTTTTATACTAAATAATGTAACACTTAATACACTTCCTTGCGGAACGCCCTCTTCTTGATGGAACATGTCAGAAAGTGTATCACCTATCTTCACATGAAACTTCCGATCCTGTAGGAAATGTTTGATGAATATCGGCATGTTTCCTCGTAAACCATTGTTATATAGGTCACGAAGGATACCGTATCTCCAGGTGGTATCATAGGCTTTCCCTATTTCAAAGAAAATGGAAACATAATGATTTCTTCTAACGAACGCTCTACGGATACCTGTTTCTAAGAGTAGGATATTATCGATAGTTGCTCTTCCTTTTCTAAAACCGTTCTGATAAGGGGAGATACAATTATTTGTCTCTAAATAATAAACCAGACGAGTGTTGACCATCTTTTCAAAGAGTTTGCAGAGGCAGCTAGTAAGGGCGATGGAACGGTAATTCGACGGATTAGTAGGGTCTTTTCCCGGTTTAACAATGGGGATGACAAAAGCTATTTTCCAGGCATTTGGAAAGACTTGTTCCTTCCATACTCTATTAAAGAGAAAGAGGATGGTTGCCAATGACTTGGAAGGAAGATGTTTCAGCATAGGCTAGGCAATATCATCTGAACCAGGACATGAATTTTTTGTCTGCAACAGAGCTCTTTTCAGTTCAAGCACAGTAAAATCCTGATTATATGGTTCAGTATTGGGAGATTTGAAATTAATTAGTTTTTTTCAATGATTTTTTTGCGGAAAGAAATTCAAGAGGGTAGTTACTACTGTGTGAGACGGCTGAGAAACTCTGCCCAATAGCGTTGGCAATTTCTTCCCTACTAGTAACTGTTTCACCACCTTGTCTTTAAAATGGAAAGTGTGTGCTCTTTGTAGATACCGGACGCTTTCCGGACTCTCTCCACACCTTCTTACTCGAAGTTGAAGAGCTAATCGAAGACACATACGAGATCCAAGAATTCTTCTGACTTTTCCTTCGCACCTGCCGAGCTTTTGCTTTTAGCCCTTTTGAATATTACGAGATTTGATTCTGAAGGATATCGCCGAAAAATGCTCCAAGCTTTCCTTTGTTTTCTGATGGCGTCCTGGCATTCAGGATTCCACCAGGGCTTTGGGTATTTTGGCTGTTTTACCGACGTTTTTGGTATACATATATCAGCTGCTTGAATAATTTTATCTGTAATTATCTTCACAGCCTGATCAATATGCACATTCTTTATTATTTCTTCAGTAAAAGGAGCATAATGTAAGAAAGAGTCCCAGTCGGCTTTGTCCAACAAAAAGCGTGGTGTTCTAGGTATAAACACACTCCTATTTTCGGTAATACTTATGATAATAAGAAAATGATCACTATTATATAGATAATTCTCGACATTAAAGAAACAAAATAAGGCAAAAGCTGTGGAGAAACAATAGCAAGGTCAATGGAATGGAAGGTCCTTGTTGGCTGATGAAAATAAGTGCTTTCTGCGTTGTTAAGGATACAGAGACAGTGGTCGTGGAGTAGCTGTTCAATTTGCTTCCCGCGTGGGTTGGTATGTCTTTACTACCCCACAAGGGATTGTGTCCATTGAAATCACCGACTTAATAACGGAGCTGGTAGTTGGGCAATTAAGATCCTCTAAATCTCTTACATTAATGTTCTCATTAGGCGGGATGTAAATACTGCAAACAGTAGTCAGTGTTCGAATGCTCAACTGTACTGCAACTGCTTGGAGAGGAGTATCCAAAGGGAGAGCACTCGAAGGGCAATTAATTGAGGTGAGTAGACAGACAACACCACTTGCGCGTTCACTGAAAGTCTTATCCTTTCTTGTCATCGAGTATCTACGTAGCTTTGCAAAATTACCAGGTTT